AAATGAGAGAGCTCCAAGTTTCTGGAAGCCCCCAAAACAATGGGATTGCACATTAGATCAACTGCTAGCTACATTATAGACTCAGACATTTCCAGTGGAGAGGGGAGAGTGACAGAAAACACGTCCATAGGGGGCAGGGCAGTGGGGACTATGAGGTAACGTCAGAGTCACCTAGGGATTTTTAAAGCCACATTTGCTTACTTCCTAGTGATGCTGAGAAACGGCACCCCATGGGAGGTAAGGATCTAAAATGCAGACTTTTTCTTGTAGTGACATTACTTCTGATGGGAATGGGCTAAATCCTTAGAGTAGGTGGAATGGAAAATTAAACTGTGAATGACTTGCACAGTTGATACACTCCTAGAAGATAAAGAAGTAGGCAGAAGTTTACAGCATGGGCTCAGTAATAAAAAGACCAAACTTCTCACTTCCTTTTCACAGTGTATTAAAAGACTGTGACAGGCAGGCAGCAAGCAAGAACAAAGATTTTGTTCTGTGGGAAATAGAGGCAGCTGTTTAAAAATAGGTGGAAAGATTATTGAATAATATTAAGGGTCCAACTGATGTGGAAAGTCAGGCATGGCAGTAATCTGCATTCTTCAGTAATGTTCTTCCTCAGTTCTGAAGAGCGTGGATATAGGACTAGAAAATGTAGGCCAGGCACGGTGGCTCATGCTTGTAATCCCCACACTTTGGGAGGCCAAGGCAGATGGATTACATGAAGTCAGGAGTTCGAGACCAACCTGACCAACATGGTGAAACCCTGTCCCTACTAAAAATACAAAAGTAACTGGGTGTGGTGGCTGGTGCCTGTAATCTCAGCTGCTTGGGAGGCTGAGGCAGGAGAATGGCTTGAACCTAGGAGGCAGAGGTTGCAGTGAGCCAAGGTTGCATCATTTCACGCCAATCTGGGTAACAAGAGCAAAACTCCATCTCAAAACAAAAACAAAACAAAACAAAAAAAACTCTGACTCAAAAGAAAAAAGAAAACGTGGTCTTCACTTTGGAGGTCTGCCCAGAGTGTTGGAAAGATCTAGGAAGACTCCAAGGTCCTGGTGAAAGGACTGAAGTAATGAGCCCAGGGAACCAGATTAAGTTGAGGGAAAGAAAGGAGGTGAGGAGATTTTTTGGACTGAGATACTAGGGGAGAAAGTGCAGCCACCAACCAAAAATCTTACTGGATTGAACAGCTGATGTGGAGGGGATCAAGACATGGGTGATGGAGTGGCAGGAGTATGGGTTGTGGTCATATAGTGGGAAGACAGTTTTTCATGTGGATTTCCTGGAGAGGAATCAGATGTTTCTGATCATTACTAGTTGTGTGCCAGCCTAGGAAGTTCATTCATAAGTCTTTCAGAAGTGGAAGAAAGCAGGAAAATTGCTTGCTAAATTACCCCACAAAAGTCAAAGCCTTTCTTCCTTAGAACTTTTGAAAGGAATTATTACTAGGACAGATGGGGCTTGATCTGGTCAACTATCTTACGCTTTTTAATTGTCATTTGGGATTTTTAACTACCTCTTCCTAGAAGAGCAAAATGAACTTGTCTTTTTCCCATAAATATAATTAAAAGAGCCAGGCTGAGAAGACCCACCAATGGGTCACTCCAGCCCTTGCCAAAGGATGGGATCAGGATATAAAGTAAATCCCATTAATTGCTATAATTGATGGCTCCAGCAGGGAGTATGGCTTACAATTAGAAGTTCCCAAAAGTTTGCCACACCACTGGAGAAATTAAAAAAGAGATTCAGGGTTATTAGCACACATTCAAGCAAAGGCTCGTTTGAAGGAGGGCATTTTCTAACTTCTTATGGATAGGCCAGGCCTCTCTTGACAGTTTTGTTCAATTTTGTTTTCCATGAAACTTCACCAAGGCCTTTGATATTATGTACATGTCCTTAATTACAAACACATATTTCTTCTCTATTGCAAGGTTTCCCCTGAGCTTTACTCTTTCCTCTGCCAGTGAAAGAGGAAACTTGGATACCACATATGGAAATAACAAAAGTGGGGTATGAAACTGGATGAACTAGCACATAAAGAGTGCTGTTCCCTGAAAAAACTGTTGGATTCATCTAGGTAATCATCTCCTGATGAATATACTCTTGCTAGTATAACCTTCTTCTTACAAATTAGAGTTACAAATTAGATCTGGAAACGACATCTGGAGACAGCTGACCCCTCCTAAAGCAATAACATGTCAGTGTGTTTTTTGACATACGATGCAGGCTTTTCCAATAATTTTGGATTTTACACATTAAAAACTCTCAAGAGAAGGTGTTGAAGGTGTTGGTTTGATTTTTTTTAATGTTTTATTTCTCCAAAGATAGCAATCAAATAACTGGATATACACATTCCCATTTTATCATCACTATCACACTGTATTCTAATTACCTGTTTAAATTTCTGTGTTGTCACTGCATTAGCCCCTTAGAGAACAAAACATGTATCCCTCTCTGCATCCTCCCTATGAAACTACAGGTATGTGCTGGGACTGTGTCCTCTAGAAACAACAGTGCCAATAGGTGAGTGGCTTTCTTTAAAAATGCTAGTATTGTTCAAATGGTAGCAAACTGGAACTAAAACCAAATGTCCATCAACTGGGGAATAATTATAAAAGTTATAGTAAATCTACAGATATAATATTATTTGGCTTTTAAAAAAAATGAGTTAGAGCTACATCACTTTACCTGGAGAGATGTCCATGATATACTGTTACATGAGAAAAGCAACTTACAAACAAAATTATAGAGTGTTATTCCCAATTGTAAAAGTAAACAATGATGCCTTGTGAAAAATATATGTGTTTATATCTGTGAGAGAATATTCATAATGCACTAACAGAGGTTACCTTAAGGATGATCAGGAATTAAAGTAGAATGAGTGTGGGATGAGAAATAGTGCCAGCAAAATGCAAAAATACTCATGCCATATGCTAAGGGAAAATGTAGAGTGCGTGATTTTAGTGATTGTTTTTTTAAAAGAAAAGTTTACCTTTTGGTGTCTTACTAGTTGATACCAGGTATAGTTATGAAAACTCTACGTAGACTATTGCACTTCATGCCCACACCAACTCTGTGAGGTAGGGATTATTATTTCCTTAATTTCACATAACAGAAAACAGTGACCCAGAGAAGTTATTTAATTGGCCAGTGGTCACACAATAAATGGCAAAGCTAAGACAAAATATTAATAGGCAAATAGGTGAAAATGAAATTGTATTTTTTCCTAGAAACTAATCAGATCAAATGAAAATAATCCATTTAATTTAGTAACAGACTTGTGAATTATTTTTATCTCAAATTTTTTGCTATTTAATATTACTTCATTTAAATAAAGTAAAATCATTAAAAATAAATACAATAAAACGGGTAGTATGGTGGTTTTCAAAACCTGTCCTCAAGTCCTTTGATGTAGGAGGTCTGTGTTTCTTCCCCTTGAATCAGATGGGGCCTGTGACTGATGGCTCTGGGCAGCCATGTAGGAGAAGCAATGTCATGTGTCTTTGGGTGCTGAGTCAAAAAAGGCAATACAGCTTCCTCCTGGCTTCCTTTTTGGGAAGCTTGCTTTGGAAGATGCCAACCACCATAAAGTGAGTCTCATATGGAGAGGAACAGAGGCCCTAGCCGACAGGCACCGTCTACTATCAGACTTCAGATGGTTCCAGCCTCTCCCTAGCCTTGGAATCTTCCAGCTGAGGCCCCAAAAATCACAGAGTAGAGACTAGTTATGCCAACTACACTTTGTCTGAATGTCTCACTTACGGTATCTTCAGTGAGCACAATAAATGTCTGAGTTTTTGTTTGTTGTCATTGTTTTGTTTGTGTTTCGTTTTGGTTTTATTTATTTATTTATTTACTTGCGACTAAATTACATAGCTTTAGAGAGCTGGAAGAGATTCTGTAGTGACGGTCAGTTTGGGGTAGGTTTTCCTTAGTTTTATTCTTCTGCTCTCTTCAGGCATGTTGTGATGGTTAATTTTATGTCTCAATTTGGCTGGGCCACAGTGCCCAAATAGTTGACCAAACATTGTTCTAGACGTTGCTGTGAAGGTGCGTTTTTGGATGAGATGAATGTTTAAATCAGCATACTTTGAGTAAAGCAGATGACACTCCATGATGTGGACGGGCCTTACCCATTCAGACGAAAATCTTAATAGAACAAAGACTGACATTTCCAGCAAGAAGGAATTCTACCAGCAGATTGAACTGCAATTTTTGTCTGATCTTTCTGCCTGCCACCTACCTCATCAGGCTTTGGGCTTACCAAGCCGCCAGAATCACATGAGCCAATCATGTCAAAACAAAACTTTGTTTGTCATCATTGTTTTGTTTGTGTTTTTATTTGCTTTGTTTTGGATGGGCTCAAGGGATCACTCTTCCCCTGAGCTAATCCAGTTCAATTAAGTTCATAGCTCGTTGCCACACCTCTAATTCTCTCACCTTGTTTAGCACACAGAAGAGAAATCTTACTTCTGCTATGACAAGCCTCCCTAGATTTGGAAACATAAAATGGCATAACATAACCTCTATCTATATACACACAAATACACACACACACTCTGAATAGCACATATGTTACACACATTATACCTTTAACTCTGCTTCCCAAACTACTCACCAGTTGCTTCTGCATCCAAACCTCACTGCAGTATCTAAATAAATCACTTATGTTTAAGTTATTATATATGTGATATATTTAAGAGGTCTAGGAAAGAGACTGATAGTAGCAGGGGGTCAATCTTCTAAACTTCTTTCTCTCTCTTTCCCTCCTTAGGGCAAAAATCAGAGGAAATATGCATCCATTTCCAACAAATGGGCAGCCCATATATTAGATGGCAACACCAAGGACAGAAAACTTTAGGAAGATAAAGGCCTGGCAAGTAGATTAGCTGTGACTTTCATCTTGATGTGGCTTCATGGAGTTACATATGCCACTGAGAATTCCCAAGTGACAAAGTGATCAAATCCAGGCAAAGGAAAAAAGGAAAGGGGCAGCTTACCCCTCGAAGCAGTGGGCGACTGTCAGAACCCACTTCTTGGCAATGAGGACACAGCCACAGATATGTCCACTGGGTTCACTCTGCAGAGAACACTGCCATGGCCACCTTCCAGGGCGACTCGTCCGACCCCCAAGGATCCTCTTGTTCATTCGGGCAACCGGCCGGCGCCCACAGTCTACCAAGGAGCAGAAGACACAGTTCGTGATTTGATGCCAAACCTGGCTAAATGCTTAGCTATTTACTGTCATATACAAGCAATCACTCTTCCCCCAAGTGAATCCAGTTCAATTAAGTTCATATCCCATTGCCACATCTCTAATTCTCTCACCTTGTTTAGTACACAGAAGAGAAATTTTACTTCTGCTCTGACAGGGCTGCCTGGATTTGGAAACAAAAAATGATACAATGGTAAGTTACATATTTACTGTTCACTTCAAACACTTTACCAGTGAAAAACAAGACAAGTCCGACTGTTACCATTGGAAATCACATTGTCTGAGTAATGATTCCTCTTAGTGCAGGAATTCTCAAGACAGGAATGTGGTCAGATATTAATCACATTGAGGGTGGGAGTATATGGAAAATATGCATGTCATTTTTTAGTTCATTTAATATCATCATAATGTAATTTCACATTTGCGGAAAAAGAAACTATTTTAACAAAATTTCCCATATCATTTGGGTTGATGGTGCCACCACAATGTTAATTCAAACTATAATTCTCAAGGGGAGATGGGAGTGCTTTTTAGAATCAATGTTGAGGAGGCAGCATGTTAGATTTTTATGTTTATACAAAGTGGCGTGCACTCAAAACAAGTTGAAAAATAGTCCAAGATGAGTGAAAATATGACTTCAGAAGTTTAAAGAACAGATAAAGGAATGAAGAATTTAGACTGGAAAAGAGTCTTACTAAGACTCTCAAGGTTAAATTTTGATTTTATGAGAAGTTGACAAGAGAAAAATGAGCTTAAATTTATTTCATATAACTTTAGACAACATCATCAGAGCTAGTAGGTACAACTTACAAGAATTGTGGGTTCAGAAAAAGAATTTTCTAAAATCTAAGTTCAATTTTGAATGCAAAACATGGTCCCTGTTAAAGGATCTTTCAATGTGATGGCATGAGATAATTCAGTTTAGGGTACAAATTTTAATCACCAAGTTTTCTTCCACCCGTGAAACATTTACATTACAACTTCAACATAAATGAAAAAAGATTAAAAAAAAACATATTGGGACTTTCAAAAATACTATGATGTACTTAGAATCCTAGATCTCTCAAATTAAAAAAAAAAAAAATCTGGCCAGGTATGGTGGCTCAAACCTGTAACCCCAGCACTTTGGGAGACTGAGGGGGGCGGATCACAAAGTCAGGAGTTTGAGATTAGCCTGATTAACATGGTAAAACCCCATCTCTACTAAAAATACAAAAAAATTAGCCAGGCATGGTGGCCCATGTCTGTAATCCGAGCTACTCGGGAGGCTGAGGCAGAATTGTTTGAATCCAGGAGGCGAAGGCTGCAGTGAGCTGAGATCGCACCACTGCACTTCAACCTGGGTGACAGAGCAAGGCTCCATGTCAAAAAAAAAAAAAAAAATCGAACCCTAAATATATAGTTTCCATGTTTCTCTCTAAAGATATACTGTATTTTCATTTCTTGCTAAATTTACACAGTGGCACATGTAATTATTTGCATATAATAAATTATAGAACAGAGGAAAAGCTCATTTGCTTTCTACCCTCCTACAGTCTAAAATTCTCTCTTCCTTAATCTCTATTACATTATCCTAAATTTATTTGCAGCACTTACCAAGGTCTGAAATCATTTGTTTACTAACTTGTAATCTTTCTGTTCGCCCCACATAGTGTATGTTCCCTGAGATCAGGGCCTTCGTTTCCCATCATTCAGTTCTATATTCCCTCAAAGTCTAACACTGAACCTGGTGTAAAAGAAATACTTGGCTGGGCACAGTGGCTCACGCTTGTAAACCCAGCACTTTGGGAGGCTAAGGTGGGCAGATCATGAAGTCAGGAGATAGAGACCATCCTGGCCAACATGGTGAAACCCCATCTCTACTAAAAATACAAAAACTAGCTGGGTTTGGTGGCACTTGCCTGTAGTCCCAGTACCCAGGAGGTTGAGGCAGGAGAATCGCTTGTGCCCAGGAAGGGGAGGTTGCAGTGAGCCGAGATTGCACCACTGCACTCCAGCCTGGGCAACAGAGCGAGACTCCATCTCAAAGGAAAAAAAGAAATACTTATAATTAGTTCTTATTTGTTAGATTGAAAACACATAGTCTTAGGAATCAGAAAAGTCATCAAAGACTATTCATCCAACTTCTTACTGGAAACTGCAGTTATATAAAATAACACTTCTAGAAGTAAGCCAGGACTAAAACAAAGTTTACCAAGTCCCAATCTAGACTGAGTTATTTATTCATTTACTTGCCCTAAAAGTTTTTTTCTGGAATTCCAAGTGTGGGAAAACAAATCACTTTGTTAAAAGATTCAGGTCATTGTTTTAAAGGAAGTACTTTAGTTAATAAATATTCAAAAATTTGGCTGCAGAGTGTGTTCTATGAGAAAAATGTCAAGACCTTTTCAGAGGAAATGGTCCATTTTTAGTTTTCCTCTTTAAAATTCTTAAGAGGTAGTTACATTTATGAGCTTTGGAGTCAGATAAACTTATTTAGAGTTTAGACACTATCACTTAGCATCTGTGGGCTATGAGATTTGGGCAAATTATTTAAATATTCTAAGCTTTAGTTTCCTCAGCTGTAAAACTTGGATAATCATCCATGGTTCACAAGTCTATTATGAGGTTTAAATGACTTAGTGAATATAAGACTACCTACCTGTGTGTCTATAATGTAATAAGAACCTAATAAATGTAAATTTTCTCAATTTCTTTTCCTCTTATACCCCACCCACAGACCAGGGAAGCCACCCTGTTTAAAATGCCATGATTTTTCAGGGGAAACTTAAGTGCACTTTCAAGGCAACTTGATTATCATTTCATTTGTGTCTGTTTCTCTCTTACACTTTCCAAGTTTTCTTAGTTATCATGACTTCAGTTCCCTCTGTTAACTAGTTCTATGCAGCATCTGTAGGAGATGCAGACATGTGGGTTCATTTTGAATAAGATATTAAAAGAAATCCAAGATTAGAGCCCAAGTGCCTCTCTTCTCACCTTGATAGTGTCTATAATCATGAATAAATGAGAGGAAAAAAAAAACCTATGCCTAGAAAGAAGAAATAAAAGCAATCAATGTTGAACTGTAAAGGCAACAGCCATTCTATGGAAACTGTTTACTGATATGACAAATTTGGATTATCTTAAATTAAAAAATGGAAGAAAGGCTCAATGATAAACTCTTATTCCATAATCTGACTCTACACAGCTCGTATGAAAGTGTTCTTACCCATTTACTAGAAGTTCATGTAAAGTGGTCCCATTGAGAGTCTCCCAGTTGGAGTGTAATGTCAGCCACTGCTGGTCTTTCTCCTGTTCCTGTATCAATTCGGTCACAGATGGTTCTCTGATACAAGGCAAATACTGGATAAGTATTCAAAGTACAATGACCTTTGAACAGGCATTATCGTTAGCTAACACTCATTCTCTTTCAAAAAGAAACATTAAGTTATGTCAACATTTCAAGAGGAGAATTGGACTGTTAAAAATTGTTAGACCTGTTTTAGTTATTCTCTCTGCTGACCTATGTTTGAACTTTATGAGGTGTTAGGATTATAATGTGTATGATATAAAAGTTCCAACAGGTAAAATATAAGAAAAACTTTACGCAGGGATCAAAAGTAAAATAAAATTTATCTAGCTGGGTTTTTTCCTCTTTTTCTTGTCCATTGTAATTCTGCAATATGGCAATATCATAAAATAAAATAAACAACAAAAAAAGATGGCCATTTAGCATCTATTTAGGCAGTATAAAAGTTGTAAGAATTTTAATATTTCTGCATTTCTAAGTTTTTTTGTTTTTGTTTTTTGTTTGTTTGTTTGTTTTTTAGACTGAGTCTTGCTCTATTGCCAAGGCTGAAATACATTGGTGCAATCTTGGCTCACTGCAACCTCTGCCTCCAGGTTCAAGTGATTCTCCTGCCTCAGCCTTCCTAGTAGCTGTGACCACAGGCACATGCCATCACACTCAGCTAATTTTTATATTTTTAGTAGAAATGGGGTTTCACCATGTTGTCCAGGCTGGCCTTCAACTCCTCACCTCAAGTGGTCTGCCTGTCTTAGTCTCTCGAATAGCTGGGATTACAGGCATGAGCCACAGCACCCAGTCTCACCTGATTATTATATTTAAATTATTGTAATCACATAATAGAAAATGAAGAAAAACTTCACCAAACTCATACTTTAAAAAGGCAAGGAGGAACCCTCTAAAGGGAGCACTTGTTGATAGATAAGAGCCAAAGATTAAAACCACAGGAGAATTGAAAACATTTAATTTTAAAACAAATGTCATACATCCTAGCTGCAATAAAGAAGAGTGGTATAAGATATAAATTTATTTAGAAACCTGAATTGACTTAGATTATTGAAGATATCAAAAAACCTATTATAAAAATAAGAATTTTTCTTTTTCTTGGCCAAAATGAGTCTGGATCTCCATCAGTTCCAGGAGTACTGAATGTAGACGCAAAGTGAGCTGGAAAGTATAAAAGTCAGAGACCACACATAGTGGTCATGGTGTTTCTCCTGATAGCCTGCATCCTGAGAATTCCCTTCTGCGAATGAACTACCAATGGACCTCCTAAATCCAGGCAAAGCCAAAGGAAGATAAACTTTAGATTTTGTTATTTAATCAAGTCATGTTAAATCAAGTATTCACAGGGCAACAAGAGACTTGATGGGGCATGCAATTAGGAGAGGGTGTGCACTGATGCTGGATAGGAAAATCATTGCAAAGAACGCCAGCCTTTCAACTCACAAGGCCCCCTACCTACCCCAAGGAAGGGCTCCACAGACTATTGTACTTGGAATGTTTCTGCATTTCATTCATTAGCTTCCAAGAAGAAAGACAATTTATCCAGATTTTCTCAGTTACAAGTGGAAAAATCTGAGAAATTGATCATCAAGAACAGGGTATTGTCATTATGAAAATTAGTTTTCCATGAAATTCTTGAACACTGGCATGTTCCTCATGCACAAACATAAACTTTCAGCACTAGAAATGTCATCCTACGGCCATTTAAAAAAAACAGTGAATTTGTATGGTTGTATTTCTGCCATCGTACAGAATCTGAGCATCTGCATGACTTCAATTTTCCTTTCCTTCTTTCCTAGCTTTATTGAGGCATACTTGACAAATAAAAATTGTACATATTTAAGGGCTGTAATGTAATGTTTTGATATAGGTATACATTGTGAAATGGTTACCACAATCAAGCTAATTAACATATCTATCACCACATAGTTACATGTATGTGCATGTGTATGTGTGTTAAGAACACTAAGGCCAAGAATCTTGGCAATTTGCAAAAATACAATTTAGTAGTATTAACTATAGTCACCTTGTTATACCACTAGATCCCCAGAATCTATGCATTCCACATTACTGACTCTTTGTATCCTTTGACCATCTCCCCATTTTCTCCATCCCCTAGTTTTTGGCAACTAACATTATACTCTCTGCATTTATGAGTTGACTTTTTTGGATTCCACATATAAATGCAGTATTTGTCTTTCTGTGCTTCGCTTATTTCACATAACATGTCCTCCAGTTTCATCCATGTTGCCTCAAATGGCAGAATTTCCTTCTTTTTTTAAGAATACTGAATACTGTTCTATTGTGTAAAGAAATGTGGTGGGGGTGCGGGTGTATTATTTGCACATATATCTATTGTATAAAGACATATATATTCTATTGTGTAAAGAAACTGTGACATCACATTTTCTTTATCCATCCATTCGTCAACAAACAAGTTGTTATCTTGGGTATTATGAAGAGTGCTATAATTAACATAAGCGTATTTTGAGACATTAATTTCATTTCCTTTAGATAAATATCCAGAAGTGGGATTGATCGATCATATGATAGCTCTATTTTAAATTTTTTGAGGAATCTCCATACTGTTTTTCATAATTGCTGTACCAATTAACATTCCTACAAAGAATGTATAGGGTTTCCCCTTCTCCACAGCTCCCCAACACTTTTTATATGGTTTCTCCTTTTGAAACTAACCATTTTAACAGATGTGAGGTGATAATAATTCATTATGATTTTAGTTTGCATTTCCCTGATGATTAGTGATGCAGAGCACCTTTTCTTATACTTGTTGGCCATTCTACGTCTTCCTTTTAGAAATATCTGTTCAGGTCCTTAGTTCATTTTTCAATCAGGTTATTTGACTTTTTGCTACTGAATTCTTTGAGTTCCTTATGTATTTTGGATATTAACCTCATCAGATATATGGGTTTTATTAAATAAGTTTGAAAATTATAAAAGTAATACTTGTACATAGAAGAACATATCGACAACTATAAAATGAAAAAGTTGTCTTCTTCCTATCTTAGATGCATAGAAACAATCACTGTAAATAGTGTTGGAGTATCTTTGCCAAGCTTTTTCTACAATTCATGTATATATATATCCCTTTTTTGCTAGTCTACACTCATTGTTCAGTGTGGTCTTGATATTTTCATTTACTGACTTTTCTTCGGAGTCTTTCCATCATAATAGCTAATAGGTGTTAACTATTTTCTGTATGGCAAGCACTAAAAGACTAATTTGTTTTATTTAATCATCTCAACAACTCTGTGAAGTAGACGTTATAATTATTTCCCATTTTGGAGATGAACAAGTAACATGTCCAAGGTACACAACATGTCCAAGGCACACAACAAGCCAGTGGCAAAGCTGGTAATTTAATCCCTATGGTCTGATGTCAGAATACAGTTCTTAAACTGTGACCACTACATGGTTCTTTGCCATTAACAGCACACCATGTTCTTTTGATAGCTGCATGGTGTTTGATAAATGGATGTTCATACATTTATTTAACCAATTTCTGCACGTGTAAGTTTTATCCTATTTGGAGCTATAACAAAATAGCAGCAGTAAACATTCTAAACATTCACCTTCACCTACATGCAAAAGTATGATTTTAGAATAAATTCCTAGAAATAAAATCATTGAATCAAAATTTGAATTTTTGATTAATATTATGAACTTCCCTTTCAAATAATAATAGTAATATACATGCACATGAAGAATGTGTGTACCTGTACTTCTCAATTTTTAAAACTATGTAAATCGTATTATGTAAAAGGTGTCTGGAACTTAAGAGCACTCAAATTTTGTTTGATGATTGGGACTGCTTTTGACTTAACTAATTAGAAACTTTTTTTAACATTATATCAAAAGACAAATTAAGAAGTCCTGCTGTGTAGAAAGCAAAAGAGAAAATTTAAGCATTTGATTAAGCATCAAAGTCTCTATATCCTAAATGAGTCTGTGCAGAGAATACAGACTCAAAATCCTTCCATAGCATCCATGGATTCACACACGGAGAAGGAAATTTAAGCAATAATCTAATCCAGCACCTAGAGCAAGAGTACAAATGAAGGCCCAAATGCCATTTGTCTACATATTTAGATGTTATAAATCCAGTTCTCAAGCTGTCAAAGAAAATTTCTCTCCTCCTCTCTTGACAAACATATCTGTTAGGTTCAAATACAGAACCTTAGACTCCTGAGAACAGTGGGTTTCAAACTTTAGCATTCATCAGAATCACCTGGAAGACCTGTTACAACACAGATTTGTTGGCCTCATCCCCGGATTTTCTGATTTAGTCAGTCTCAGGTGAGATCCAAAATCTGTCTACCAAGATCACAGGTGATGTTGATGATGCTGGTCTGAGACCACACTTTGAAAACATCACTCTAGAAAAGAGATGAGGCTTCATGTGAGCATAACGCCTTGGCCAACAGAGTCCTTACCTCGTGGGGTGAGCCATGGGTAGAGGAGGAGGGCGAGAGGGTCCCTCTAAATCAGGGTTTCTCACCCTAGGTGGTATTGACAATTAATACCAGTTATTTATTCGCTATGTGGGGCTATCCCGGGCACTGCAGGATGTCTTATAACATCCCTGGCTTCTACCCACTAGCTGCTAGTAAGACCCCATCAACGCTGGATTTACAATTAAAAAAAAAATGTCTACAGACATTCCAAATGTTCCCCAGGGAAGGGGTCCCCAGCCCCAGGGCCTCTGTTAAGAACCAGGCCACAGCAGGAGGTGAGTGTGGGGCAAGCCAGCAAAGCTTCATCTGTATTTGCAGCTGCTCCCCACCACGAGCATTACTGCCTAAGCTTCACCTCCTGGCCAATTAACCATGTTAGATTCTCACAGAAGTGTGAATCCTATTGAAAACTGCACATGCAAAGGATCTAGGTTGCGTGTTCCCGTGGGAATCAAATGCCTGATGATCTGTCACTGTCTCCCATCACCCTCAGATAAGACCATGTAGTTGTAGGAAAAGAAGCTCAAGGCTCCCACTGATTCTACATTATGGTGAGTA